TGGAAATTCCTTTTGTTAAACTCTCTGTACAAATAAATAACTTACCAAAAAACCATCTGGTTTATGTTGCTACCCTTTCCCCTTCCGAGCCGGGTCGTAAGACACCAGAGGAGGATTCTGCCCTAACCTGATCAGTTAGGAAATGAAGCGACTAAGCCAACATGTTATCCACCTCTGGTGGGCTACAGTGGGCAGTTCCTCAGGGCTCGGATTAAGACACTGGGTTTCTCTCTGGAGGACCTTATTCCTTCATCTTTAACTTGAGCTGAATATGGAGTATTTGCAACTTATCATAAAGTGCGTCCTCCCTCTGACATGCTTTGAGCTGCTCCCCAGCAAACAAGCCTTTTTCTATTCTAAGCATGTCCTTGCTCTTCTGAAGTTCTTGTTCCAGTGCCTTGATTTCTTGTCTCATGGATGTGTGTTCTTGGCTCATGATGTTATAGTTCTGTTCAAAGACTTTTTCTTGAAAAGCTTCACTATTTTGTCCCATGGCCTCTTGTCCTTCATGGAACTTTTGTGTAAGGTCTTGGAGTTCTTCTTCTAGGGCCTTGATTTGCTCTGTCAGAGATATGTTTTCTTGCTTCATCACATTATTTTTGTGTTCAGAGGCTTTGAACTCTTCTATAACATTGTTGAGGGCCAGAGCCTGATCTTGAAGAAAGTCATCCTTTTGTCTCAAGGCCTCTTCTCCATCACACAAATCTTTGGTAAGGTCCTGGAGTTTTCTTTCCAAGTCCTTGTTTTGTTGTCTCATAGAGACATGTTCTTGTTTAATTGTTTTATTGTTGTGTTCAAATTCTTCTAGCTCTTGCAGAACATTTTTGATCTTCAGAGCGTCTTCTTGAAGAGCTTCATCCTTTTTTCTCATGGCCTCTTCTCCATCACACAACATTCTGATAAGCTCCTGGACTTCTTCTTCTAGGGATATTTGTTTTTCTTTCATCATAATATTTTCCTCTCTTGTTACATTGCAGTTGCATGCAAAGCATTTGAGGTCCTCCTCAATATCTTGGAGCCCCTGAGCTTCTTCTTGAAGACCCTCATTCATTTGTCTCATGGCCCCTTGTTTATCATACACGTTTCTTTTGGCCTCCTGAAGTTTTTGTTTCAGTGCCTCATTTTCCTGCTTTGTTATATGATAATCGTCCATCAAAACCTGAAAGTCTCTTTGCAGATCCTGGTTTTGTTGCTTCATAATGTCTTTCTCACTTTTCATAACTCTGAACTGATGTTGCAAAGCGGTTGTTTTTTCTTCCAAAGACTGGGTTTCTTGTTTCAATACACTATAGTTGCATTGAAATGATTTCACGTCTTGCAAAGTTTTACCTATCTCCTCGAAGTCTTTTTGCAAAGTATCATATTGCTGTTCCATGGTTTCTTTCTCCGTCTCGTTTTTTAGCTTCAACTCTGCTATTGCTTGGTTCAAGGTCTTCTTTTCAATTTCCAAGTCTTTGTTCTGTTTTCGAAGGTCCTCATTTTCATCTTGCAGTATTTTATTGTCATAGTGGAGTTTCTCGTTTTTGACATGAAACACCTCGTTGTCTATTTGGAGTGCTCTTTTTGTCAGGTTTCTCGAACGCTTGACCTTTTCATTAAGCTCCTCAAGTTTCTTACGGAGGTCCTCATTCACCCTGTGGAGGTCATCATCATGGTGGATGGCTGCGTTCTGTTCACTCAGAGTGATAGGTTGCTGCAGATGACTCATTTTTGTTTTGTTTTTGTTTTTTCTTTCAGACGATGCAAAATGAGTATGATTTGTTTGGTGTCTCTACAATACTGAATGTATATTGGAGGATTCAGTGCTTTACATTCTGTAGCTTGCTCATAGAATGCAGTGATGTCACTGGTGACATCAAACATCAAAGGGGATGTGCTGTGATTTGAATAATAACAAAATTCTTCCATTTCAATAATAACAAAATTCTGCCATTCGAATAATAACAAAATTCTGCCATATAAATAGTAACAAAGTGCTTGCTAAAACACACATCCACACATGCAACACTCATATGGGTACAATTTGATGTCTGGAAAAAAGTTACAGACCTGGGAAAGGTGAACAAAGGCACAGAGCAAATGAAGATTTAATGCAAAAATATTTTCAAAAAATTCCACTTAAGTGTGTTATATAATTTGATTATTCTACTTCGTTTAAGAA